TTGCTCTCCGTCACTGACAGTTGGCATAAATATTATAGATTCTGGTATTGAGATCTGCTCAGTCTTCCTTGACCTCCGGAAAGCGTTTGACTCAGTTCCTCATCGCAACCTCCTCCTGGTTCTGAAGCAGCTGGAAGTTCACCCCATCCTACTGAAGTGGATTTGTAGCTACTTGACTAATCGTGTGCAAAGAGTTGTAGTAAACGGAGAAAAGTCAAATGAGATCCACACTATATCTCTGGTGTACCTCAAGGTTCTGTACTTGGACCATTTATTTATAATTATAAACAGTGCTACTAGTTTACCGTTCTCACCTGGACACTCTACGCCGATGACATCTTATTATATAAAGCAATCAGAAAGAATGATTTCAATCCAATGAAGTGCAAGTTCATGGTTGTAATACGGAAGAGGAGCTCAGTGAACCCACCAACTCTGACCCTTGGCTCCCATTCCATTTCTCGTGTCCACCAGTATAGCTACCTACCTAGGTGTCATTATATCAGCTGATCTCTCCTGGGGTGAGCACATTCATGCCCTGTGTACAAAAGTTAAGAAAACACTGGGTCTAATTATAGAACCTTTTATGCCAACGCATCTCCATCTACCCTTTTAAAACTGTATGTTTCCCTCATTCGGCCGTCTTTGGAGTACGCCTGCCAGGTGTGGAACCCTTATCTTACTAAGGATATTGAGAAACTGGAGAAAGTGCAGAAGTTTGCTCTATGTCTCTGTTTTAAACAATGGGATCTTGATTATCAGTGTCTTCTTTTTATTTCTGACCTCCCAACACTTGCCACACGGCGGAAATACTAATCTCTGCACAATGTTCAACATTGTCAACCAGCTGTTAGCTACACTTCCCTCAAGATATCTTTATCCTTAGAACCACTCCTTTACACTCATCAAATCACTTATACTGTCAGCCTTTTGTCGGACTAACTCGTACCTTAACTCATTTGTACCAAAGACCTGCTCAGACTGGAGCTCACTCCCTCTTTCTATAAGATCATCTGACTGCATTCCTCCTTCAAGTCTTCTTTGAGAGAGTGGCTGATTATGTAATTTCTCGTATACAGTCATGCACCATGTACTATATAGCCTATTGCTATTTGTGTATGATTAAAAAAATAAAAAAATAAAAACGAACTCAATAATCTTCCCTGCTGAACGGGGTCGTCGATCCAGTCAACCCCTAGGATGTACTCCGCGAACTTCACCGGGTCGGTGGCTAAAAGTGGAGCAATGACGCCTGGAGATTGGGCGGAGCTGTCGCGCGCTGATGAAAGGGCGGGGCACAGGGAGATACCGGATCTTCGGTGGAGCCAGTTCCGAGGCCAGTTCCACAGAGTTTGTAGGAGCTGTCGGCGGGCGAGCTGCTGCGGAATCTGGAGACCTCTGCTTCCAGCCCGTAGCAATTTACAAGAGACGGATCCGGGTGTTGTTCCACTTGGTTGTCCGTGGGGAGCCTCTGCAGATCGAAATAGGGGGAATTGGTCTACCTAGCTTCAGAGCGGAACACTGGGCAAGAGGGAGGTGACTGCAGTTTACAACAAACTCGGAATAAGATCTGGCAAGGAGCATTCGTTTGGTGAGTCGCTTCCATCCTTCTTTGCTCCATTGTCCAGTGATAATCTCTTCCATTGGTGGGAGACCATACTCTTGTACTAGGGACTGGAGGCGAAGGAAAATGCCACTTATCAGGGATAGGAGCAGCTGGTAGTGCAGAGAGTCAGATGGGAGGGATGAGAAAGAGTGAAGAAAGTTCAGTTGACGATGGTGTGTATCATACTCTCGATGCTCAGGGATCCCATGATATGAAGGAGAGCTTTGGTATTACAGTGTATTGGGACTCTGGGAGGCCCACGATAGTTCTCAAAATTTTTCGGTGGGCACGCTCAACAACAGGAGTTAGGTTCTTGTTATATGCCATAATTCGCTTCCGTACACTAAGATTGGTAGGCAGAAGGTCTTATATAGCCTTTGCGTTGTGATGGGATGCAGACAGCCAAACCTAGAACCTACTGCATTGCAGCTGAAGAAAGCGCTCCTCCCAGCACAGCAGCGCCCAGATGTGCATGCAGATGATGATGGAGAGACTGTATGTAGAATTCCAAGGTGGTGCTGGCTGTCTTTCTCAGGGATATTCTCACCAGAAACAAACCACTGCCGTAGAGGGCGGTTCTTCGCACGAGTAGCTGGAGATTCCCCGATTACCACAATGGCAGACTTGTCCGCATTCAAGCTGTACCGCCATTGCCGGGCGTAGGTTGATACAATATCCAGCATGCTCTGCAAGTCAGTACTGGAGTGCTAATCAGTGCTAGATCGTCAGCATACATAGGGGAGCCGCAAAATATGTTGCGTACGTGAACACCATAGCCAGAGGAAGAGAGTTGAGAGAGTAGGTCATTGACAAAGATGCAGTACAGCAGAGGGGACAGAACAGCTCCTTGGCGCACCCCCTGCTGTACTGGGAAAGAACGGGAGGTGTTGGAGTTCCACAGAACAGATGAGGTGCAGTGATGGTACCAGTTGTGAAACAATAATCCACAGATACTTGGGAAACTCGAACTGGAGTAGCTTTAGGAGCAGACCATTGTGCCACACTGTATCAAATGCCTTCTTCACATCGAGGAGTGCCACATAAGCTTTCTTCTTCTGATCACGTAACGACCGGATAGCTTCCTGAAGGGCGAATGCAGTATGCATACGGCTCATTCTAGGTTTAAAATCACCTTGTAGTGGGTGGAGAGACGAGTCAAGATGAGTTTCTCAAATACTTTACTAATGACTGACAGAAGAGTTATGCCTCTGAAGTTGGAGGGGTTGGACAGATCAGAATTCCTCCTTCTTGGGGGGATGGGGACGATGAGGCCTTGATGGAATATAGATGGGATGTGACCTGATATCAGGATGACATTGAAAAGTAGAGTGTTGGCAATTAGGGTGTGTGAGAAAATCAGATGTTCATTACTGAGGTAATCAGGGCCAGCAGCCTTCCCTTTGGGGAGGGAGGATATCACCGTTCCCACTTCTTCTGCACAGATCAAGTCTGGTTCAACATCAGGGAGACTCTGGAATAATTGAAAGATCTCGAGCAGGTGGGATGGAAGATGCACCTAAGTTCTCAAAATACTGTGCCCAGTCCTCAAGGATTGTCGAGCCTTCGAATGTGGTTCCATTAACTGAGATGCGGTTGGTAGGTGGTTGGAGTGTTGATGGAGAGGTGTGACAGCGAATAGCTTGGAAGAAACGGCGGGGATCCAGTCTTGGTCAAGAGAGTTGTAGAAATCCTCATCAGCAAGTTTCTTCTGGAGTCGTATCTGTCGTCTATAGTCCCTCTTTGCGGCTTTATAAGCTGCTCAGACAGGGTGAGTGGGTTTGCGGGGCTTGCCAGCATTCATCCATAGGTGGTAAAGTTCCCTTGCTCGATCTCTTGGCAGCTTTCAGTATGGGACCCCATCCAGGTTTCTTGAAGTGCTGGTAAACCTTAGGAGGTATATTGTTCGAGGTGGCGAGGAGTAGGTCAGTCAAATCAGATAAGTGTTTATCGATAAGGGTAGGTTGGAGAGATAGTACAGACTCTGGAGGGAGGGATTGGTGAATGCTGAGCAGGGGTTGATGGAGAGGTTGCGTGTAAAGAGAGTGTATGTCTTGTTTGGAGATACGGGACCAGCTTCTGGGAATGAATCCAGGCTTGCGGCGGACTTCTGGTTCTGAGAGTACTGGCAGTGAGCAGTAGAGCTGGATTGAAGCAACTAGAGGCAGATGTATTGAGGGAGTGCTCCGGTAAGTTGCTGGCAGATTGAAATCTTGGAAGGAAGCTCTGGTGACACAGTATGTGGTCGATTGTAGACACAGTGGAGTGGGCCTCACTCTCTAATGTATGAGAAGAGGAGAGATTGGACTTATGAAGGTATGCCAAGACGAAGTTCCAAAGGGATAGGTATATACTGTGACAGAATTCTCCCTTGTTCATTGACACGTGTAGTAGAGAGTGGGCCACCATGACTCCCTGGGTCGGCATTGAGGTCACCAAGGATGATCGTGTAGGATATTGAGGGGAGAGTGTCCATGGTTGCATTCAAGAGGTCAAGAGCTTCTCTAAATGCGTCGGTGCATCCAGATCGGCTTGGGAGATACACAGAGAATACATGAATTGGAGCTGGGGGATTTTGATTTCGATTCCTATGCTTTGGTGAGTTGACATAATGGGTGTAGGAGAGACAAAGTGGTCGAGACGTGAGTGCCAGCTGAAGGCCACTGCACCGTGGCCTCTGAGTAGGTGTGGGGTACAAAATACAGGGTGCTCACGGCGAGGGGGACATGCTGCGAGAAATTTGTATCTGGGGTGGACCTGTTGGATATTATTCAGATTGTAGTCATGGAGCCAGAGTTCAGAGATTGCGATGATATCTTGGGGAGTGTTTGTTGATGATGTGTTGAAGGTAATGCAGGTTTGACGATAAGCCGCGGAGATTAAAGCAGCAGAATTTCAGATGATTGACACTTGTAGCTGCAAGGGATGAGGGATCACACAGGCTTGAGGTGGGTGCTGTGGAGATGGTGGGGATAGCTGTTGGTTGTGTGCAGTGGGAGACAGATTTTGGGGGGTTAGGGTGCAGGTGAAGATTGGCACGTGTGTTGCTCCCTTCGGAAGCGCTTAGTTGGGTTGAGGGGTGTCCTCCACTGACAGTGGAGGACTGTGGGCTAAAAAAGAGAGGTGAGCAGTGTCACTTGGGGTCAGTGGGGAATAGAGTAGGCTGCACCTGTTGCACGAGTTGTTGGGGTCCTGCAGTAGTGTAGAGTGAGGGGGAGGAGCAGTAATGGCAGAGTATGATTGTGAAACAGCAGGGACCACAACCGGGTTGGGTCGTAAGGTACATCCAGGAAGGAATGTAACCGATTGCTCAGATTGAGCAGAGGCTGTGAAGGCAGAGTCCAATGAGGAAACCACAGCGGCTTGGGTATGATTGGGTTGTTGGGTTTGGACGTAGTTATTTGTTCAGTTTGAGTGGTGGGGGAGGAAGCAGAGTCTGTTGCAGGGACATTAGGAGTCGCAGTAGCATCAGGTTGGTTGGGTTGCTGTGTTGGTACAGAGTGGGAAGTAACTGATGTAACCGTTGTTTGTTGAGGTTGAGTCGTGTAGGCTGGACGGTCAGACAGAGATCGGCGAAGAGACCATGAGGGGTCTTGGCCTCCAGAGTTGGCCATACTTGGATGATCCGTTCTAGCACCTCAGGCGGGGCCATGATGGTATTCCACCACATCAAGCGGGACGCTCTTTGTCTGAGTGAGCCCTTGATTGTAACGAGGCTCCATAAGGAGTTTGATAGGAGAGCACATACTGCCTTATGTACCACTTGCGACGAGTCGTTTCTTCTGGTGCCCCAAACAATCCGAAATGGGAGAGTGTTGGGGGTACGAGTTCTCGAATTCTCCTGTGACTCGTTGGGAACATGACTATTTGAATGAGTGGTAGATTTGGTTGAAGGCTGGTGGAGAGAGGACTGGTTGATGTGGCGACGAGCAGGAGCGGAATGTTGAGGGCGTCTCAGCTGCACAGAAGACCTCTGAGCTTGCTGCGTGAGGGATACTATTGCTGACAGACGTGAGACCTCTTCTTCTAGAGAGAGGATTCTGGCATTAAACTCAGCCCTGAGTACCTGCTTGATTTGGGAAATAATTTCTTGGGTCTGGAGGGGAGGTGCATGGTTGGTGGGATTGACCGACAGAGTTGGAATTATGGATGTTGGGGGGTGAAGCATTGGCATTCCAGTATGGCGTTGTGGAATAAATGGCCTTGCTGTGGGACTCATACATGCAAGGGGGTGAGCAGCAGAAGACGAGTGGACAGTTGGGACATTGTGTGAGGACACTAGACCAGTGATGTCCAGTCGCGTGGTACAAGATGATACATTGTGGGTGACGCATGTTCCTTCCCGGGTAGTCGTGCTTTCTTACACAGCAGTGGGGCCAGTGGCAGTAACTGAGAGGTCAGTTGGTGCTAGAGGTTGTAACTGGATCAAGCGCAGGGATAGGGGGTCGGGCATCAGCGGTACTAGCAGGCAACATTGGTGGCACACAGGTAGTAGGCATAACTTCAGTGACAGTAGGAGGAGATACATTGGTGGGGGCAGAGAGGGATTCATTGGATTGGAGCGGCAGGGAGGAGTCAGCAATGGTGGCAGCTGGTATAGGAGATTGCAACTGAAAATTGCCTGCTATAGATGATTCAGAGGGGGTTGATACCAATCTAATAGGAGTGGAGGTCGAGGGAGAGGTGGGTTGTTCATAGTGCATTTGAGATGATGATGAGGCTGCAGTGGTTGTGCAGGTAGGTTGTGCGGACTGGGATGAGTAGCTCGGGGGCTGCCAGCTAGCTCAAGTTCAGGGAGGAGTGTATATGGTTGGTCAGCTGGCGAAGGAGGCAGTAGGCTGTGCAGGGAACCGAGCCTCTTCGACTGGCGTTTATAGGGGGGTCAGTTGCAGATTTGAGTCGTTGGTAATGCTGGCAAAATATGCCTGGGAATACGCACTATCATAGCTGTAATATTGTTAGTACCTCTCTTCCCTTTGGGAACCACTGCGCGGGCAGATATGGCAAGAAAACTGAGAGCGCTTCGCAGTGCGTTGTGTGAGGCGGGCGAATTGTACATGGGACCAAAACCCACACTGTAAGCTTTCAACTACCGGCTTCCCAGCGGCACTGTTAGCTCCACAAACAAATCGTACCTTCTCGGTGTCTTGCGAAGAGCCCCCAATGCAGACCCGGGCTTTGAGTGAGGCGGAGCTGCCGAGGATGATGCAGCTTGTAGCACCTCAATGCGGTGTGGTGGTGGTAGTGCACACGCAGTTCTGTGAACGTTACGCTGGCTGCGGGGCGCGACGCGCAGAGATGAGTCGGGTCGCCATACCATTTTCGCGTACTAACAACCTCTTCTTCTTCTTCTTCTTCTCTTCGTACCTCACGAAGGAGAGTAGCCCTCAGGGCGCGGGCGAAGATGAGTGAATCAGGGTAGAAGACGAGTGCGAGCAGATAGAATAATGGTGTGGGGAGAATTCAATGCAAGCGTGCTGCACGGGTAGGGGTTGATGTCGTCCAACCACTCGGTGCGAGGATGAGCGAGCGAGACGGAACGGGTCGGGTCGATGGCACGTACGACGCAGACGACGGGGTGGGGCACGCGCACAAATTCGCCCCGTGCAAGGGAGGGCAGGGCTGTCGCTATGAGGTGGGATCGGCGTCTCAGTTGCTGAGTTGCAAAGGGGAAGAAGTCTGTAGAGGAGCTCTTTTCTACTCGTCTGGAAGCGACAGGCGTCAGATGCTAGCCCGAGCAATTAGCAGTAATTCATCCTGGAGATAGTTTGTCTAGACGCATGGGAGCCTAGGGTGACTGCCAGTGGGATACGGTTTCCGAGACGAGACGGAAGAAAAGGGAAGAAAGAGGAAAATGGGGCTGAGCAGGAAGCATGGACCACATCATCAGCGTAGATAGAAGAAATCAGAGATGGTGGTATTAGCCGCAGGATCTGGCCCTTCACACTGAGCTCTGGCTGACTTGGCCCTGCTTAGGATGCTGGGGATGGAGGCAGGTCATAAAGATCAACTAGAGATTGAATGTGGATAGAGAACTACGAGGGGAGCGAGAGGCCAGACAACCGCTTCTCCAAGACGATGCGACGGCAGAGAGTCTATGGGGATAGTGTGAGAAAGAGTTGCTACGAAGTTCAGCTGGGACGGTGTTTGTGTGAACAGGGTAAGGAGTTCGCGAATTCCCAGTGGCCTGGTGAGGCCATGTGACTTTACAGCGGCCAGGGGCATCCAACTGTTATAGTGCGCTCCAGGATCTGTCATAGTTGGGTTCATAGGTAACATCAACTCTGCCGGTGTGAGATCCACACTTCGCACCGTATATGAGAATGGGGAGGCAGTCTATTTGTACAGGCGCAGGGTAAGTGAGTGGGGTGGCGGCAGCCTGCCCACGAGATCAGGAACGTTGAGAGGGAGAAGAATGCCTCCAGAAGAGCATGCAGCGCTTGGAGGTCGACGAGCGTGATGAGTGTGGAGACAGAGCGAAGGAAGAACTCCAAGGTGGTGGTGGTTGGTAGGAAGTCCTTAGCAGAAATGACACTCATCTACCTATGATCACCTGACGAGATGGAGCCGATTTCTGGGGGGCCGGGTTGGACCCTTGCTGATCACCACGATTTGGATTGTGGCAAACTTCCTGGGCATTGCGGTTTGGTAACGCACTGAACCGGTAGGAGAACACTATCTCAAGCAGTAGCCTGAAGATACAGAGTGCTGTTTGCGATCAGTGCCAGATTCATCGCTACATGGGTGCCTCGCACAGAACGGTGCCGTAAAATAGTAGCACCATAGCCTGAGCGGAGACCTGGGGGGATGCATGGCGGTCAGTGAGTAGCAATAGAGTACAGAAAGGTGAAGAATAGCTCACTGTTGTACACCTTGACTGACTTGATATGAGGGGAGGGGGGGAATTCCATAACACAGTGAAAGAATCCTCTATACCAGTTGTG